CCTCCTCCATCACCCACGTCCATCTTCCATAGCCGGACCTCCCCAACCCTACTCCTTCCTCCATCACCCACACCCGTCCACCATAGCCGACCACCTCCCAACCCTTCTTCCTCCTCCATCACCCACGTCCATCCTCCATAGCCGGACCTCCCCAACCCTTCTCCCTCCTCCATCACCCACGTCCATCCTCCATAGCCAGACCTCCCCAACCCTTCTCCTTCCTCCATCACCCACACCCATCCACCATAGCCGGCCACCCCCAACCCTCCTTCCTCCTCCGTCACCCACACCCGTCCACCATAGCCGACCACCCCCACAACCCTTCTTCCTCCTCCATCACCCACGTCCATCCTCCATAACCGGACCTCCCCAACCCTTTTTCCTTTTCCATCCCCCACGTCCATCCTCCATAGCCGGACCTCCCCAACCCTTCTCCTTCCTCCATCACCCACACCCATTCGCCATAGCCGACCACCCCCCAACCCTTCTTCCTCCTCCATCACCCACGTCCGTCCTCCATAGCTGGACCTCCCCAACCCTTCTCCTTCCTCCATCACCCACACCCGTCCACCATAGCCGACCACCCCCCAACCCTTCTTCCTCCTCCATCACCCACGTCCATCCTCCATAGCCGGACCTCCCCAACCCTTCTTCCTCCTCCATCACCCACGTCTATCCTCCATAGCCGGACCTCCACGACCGTTCTCCTTCCGCCATCACCCACACCCGTCCATCATAGCCGATCACCCCCAACCCTTCTTCCTCCTCCATCACCCACGTCCATCCTCCATGGCCGGACCTCCCCAACCCTTCTTCCTCCTCCATCCCCCACGTCCATCCTCCATAGCCGGACCTCCCCAACCCTTCTCCTTCCTCCATCACCCACACCCGCCCACCATAGCCGAGCACCCCCCAACCCTTCTTCCTCCTCCATCACCCACATCCATCCTCCATAGCCGGACCTCCCCAACCCTTCTTCCTCCTCCATCACCCACGTTCATCCTTCATAGCCGGACCTCCCCGACCCTTCTCCTTGCGCCATCACTCACACCCGTCCACCATAGCCGATCACCCCCAACCCTTCTTCCTCCTCCGTCACCCACGTCCATCCTCCATAGCCAGTCCTCGCCAACCCCTCTCCTTTCTCCATCACCCACACCCGTCCACCATAGCCGACCACACCCCCAACCCTTCTTCCTCCTCCATCACCCACACCTGTCCACCATAGCCGATCACCCCCAACCCTTCTTCCTCCTCCATCACCCACGTCCCTCCTCCATAGCCAGACCTCCCCAACCCTTCTCCTTCCTCCATCACCCACACCCGTCCACCATAGTCGGCCACCCCCAACCCTCCTTCCTCCTCCGTCACCCACACCCGTCCACCATAGCCGACCACCCCCCCAACCCTTCTTCATCCTCCATCACCCACGTCCATCCTCCATAACTGGACCTCCCCAACCCTTCTTCATCCTCCATCACCCACGTCCATCCTCCATAGCCGGACCTCCCCAACCCTTCTCCTTCCTCCATCACCCACACCCTTCCACCATAGCCGGACCCCCCGAACCCTTCTTCCTCCTCCATCACCCACACCCGTCCACCATAGCCGACCGCCCTCAACCCTCCTTCCTCCTTCATCACCTACGCCCGTCTACCCGAGAGTCTTAAAAGGGGGGGGGGGGGAGAGTCGCAAGGGGGACGCACGGGACCTCGGGTAGGATCGGTTGGGGTAAGTCAAGAAGCAAAGTCGATTAGGATGTGAAGTTTCTTGTTTTTCTTTTTTCTTTCTCTCTCTCTCTCTCTCTCTCTCTCTCTCTCTCTC